GGGTGTGACTGAGGGTGTGGGTGTTGGTCTGGGACCCACACACACACCCACACCCATGGTGCGGGTGTGGGCGCGCGAGTGAGGGTGAGGGTGTGCTTGTGGTTTTGTGTACTATAGGCTTTAGTCCCCTGCACAGGGGACTAAGCGGGGACTAAGCTTTTTGTGGGGGGGGCTAAGGGGGACTTTGCAGGACTAGGGGGGACTAAGGGTTTTTAGTGAGACTACGTAGTATCAAACGAGAGAAGTTTGATTCGGAAGAAACTGGTGTGGTTTTTTTGATTTTAGAATTCAGTTTGAAATAAAAAAAGCCCATAGACTCTAAAAACGTCAGGGAATGTATGAATGAGTTTTTTTATTTCTTTCTTTCGATGTTCATCTAAGTCGGTGTTGATTAAATTTGGTTCATTCTCCACTGTTGATATCGTTTGGTTGATTGTTGACGATATTTTTCCATGTTGCATCATGTTGAATTGTGATTGATTAAGACGAGTCATTGTGGCGAGCGGTTGATTCCGGTGAATTATAATTGTTCTTTTTGTTAAATTAGTCACCTGCAGTTTCATGTGTTGGCTCGGTGCGATAATGCCATTAGCTACACCTGGTGTTTCTTTTATTGATGTCACTTCGTATTCATCTTCTTCGTTCTTCTTTTCTATAATTGAGAATGGCCTGTTTGGCTTGACTTCAATATTGAATGTATGGAACGGTGAAATTTTAATACGTTCATTGGCTAATAAGATATATGCATCGTCGTTATTAAATTTTTCTTTTCTTTCCTGTTGCATCTGTGTATGTATGTTCTTTGTTTTAAAGTATGCATATTGTCGACCGCCGTCAATTTGAAGGTTATGTTTATGAATTAGATCATTACCGATAATGCATGAACGCCAGAATTTTGGAACAACATATACTCAACGTATACGTGTTGAGTTTGAGATGGTGATTGGAAGTGATAGGGCATATTTAACATAAAGTTGTAATGTATCCGCTAATTGAAGACATAAATTCGAAGGAGGTAGACATGCTCTTTTACGATAATATTTCGGCAGTTGAAGAAAAAAATGAAGATCAATTAATATAAGCGATGCTCCCGAATCGATGAGTAATTGTGTTCGTCTTCCTGCTATCATACCGAATAATGTTAGTGAATTAGTGTTGTGGATGTCAGCGGTATGAATTTCGGCGGAGAGTTGGACGGAATAATTTCGTTTGGAGAGCCATTGCCCATCCATCGTGCGCTCCATCGTCGTTTTTTTGGTAGTACCATGGTTGTTGTTGTGCATAAGTATTATATTGTTATGGACAGTTGTTTCTATTGTGGCCTTTTTTTCCACAGGCATAACATTTTGCTTTATATGTGAAGTAAATATCTCGTCGATTTGTCGTTGGGTATGATGAGTAATTCACCCATTGTGCTGATTGATGATTGTTGCCATAATTTTTATTTGTATAACTTTCTTTCGCGTATGTTTTCATTTGTCGATTCTTTTGATGTGTCGACACTGCTTGCATTTCGTATTGATCATCGTTGTTGTGCATTGATGTTGTTGATGTGTTATTTTGTGCTCTATCTTGGTTAGAATTTCTGTATAATTGTTTGTTTCTTTGGTAGAGAATTTCTTCAATTTTCTGTGCTTCTATAATAATTTCATCGAATGATCCACATCGAGATATTCTAATCATCGTTAAAAAATTATTTCTCATCTTGCACATCAGGTGTCGTATGAGATCATCTTCAGTTTCGTTTGGCTTTTGTTCTTGCCAAAGGGCACGAAATCGAACGATAAATTCGTTGATTGTTTCGTTTTCTTCTTGTTTGTAATTTTTCCATTGTTGTTCTTGTCGTGCTCGTCGCATCGGCGAATTAAATTGATTAAGAAAAATTGCTATAAAATCTGTCCACGTTTGCAGGTGTCGGTTTGAGGTACGTAATTGACAGTACCATTCCAGGGCCATGTCTCGAAGGAATTGAGAGATGCCGTTGAGTAACGCTTGATCGTTCCAATGATTTATTGTTTCTGCATATTCTTTCACTCGAATAAGGAACTGACGAGGATTTTCCCAAATGCTTCCATTAAATGTTGATATCGCTGTCGATGGTGGAATAATAATTGTATGTGTTGTTTGTAAGGTATATTCCATTGGTGATGGTTGTCGTGTACTAATATCAGCATGGTGTCTTCGTTCTGTTATGTTGTGGTGATCCGATTGACCATTGTCGAATGATTCATTGATTGTTGATGAATTACGTTGTGTGTGCGGCGTGGATACGTTCTCTTCCATTAGTTGATTGTGATCATTTTATTGTGATGCTTTTATTTCCAGCGCCTCACAAATGCTTTTCATTTCTGTTCTCATATCTCGAATATTGTCTGTTAATCGCTCTCATTGTTGTTGTTTTTCTTCCAATTCGAACGTTGTTGTATCATGCAATTATTTTGTTCTTTTTTAAATGGTTTCGATTTAATTTATCATTTTCTCTTGTACATTCATAATTTCATTCGATAGATTCATATTCATATTCTTATTTTGTTCTACTAAATTGAGGTGTACTTTAGCTAGTTTTTTTTCGAGCGCGTTCAGACGTGCATTGCTGTTGTTATTTGCTTCAGATAATATTCGAACCTCTTGTTCAATTGTTACTTTTTCGAATGTCATAATTTCACTTAACTTCTTTATTTGTTTCTTTATTTTTCGATCAGAAGATTGAGGTTTAGTTTGTCAGGGTCGCCATGTAACGATAAAATGATTATATCGTGATATCAAACTATTTTATTTCAATCATCCTTCTCCTTTTATAGTTACCTTCCCCTCCTGTGGGGAGCGTCAATCAACCGGAGAGAGAACACTACAAAGAGGAAGAGAGACACATGTCGAACGGGATAGATGAATTTTAACACATAATAGATAGTATCAGTGTGTATAGAGGAGAAAGTCGTTATGTACATTAATTAAGAGAGGGTCCATGAGATGATCGAGGTTCGCTCCAATATACGAGGCACTCGATAAAATATTTTTTTTCGATGTCTTTTGCTCATTCGAAACTTCAATGTCCAAAACTACTAACCCTAAAATTTTATGTTCTAATACCCTTCCTATGAA